AGATGACAAACAAGTAGCACGTCCCATTGGCTTGCAACAACAGCAGTTAATTCTCACTCACATTACAAATCAGCACCTGTAAGTCAGCTCCAGGGCTTGTCCACAGATCTTCTCATTCCAGGACCCAGGTTGAAAAAGTGGCCCCTATCTGATATATGCCTTTCTCTTGTGGCAGAAGAAAAGAACAAGAGAGTTGGCAGAAACATGCAATAACTGTTCAAGCTTTTCCTGGGACATGGTGAACATAATGTTTGCTCACAGGCACTGACCAAAGCAAGTCAAATGCTTTCTACTCCCACCCCACCATGAAGGACTTACTACAAGTCTTGGGCAAAGGACAGAGATATAAATCTACTTATAGGAGGGAGCATAAATATTGAGAATGCTATAATAAACAACTGATTACTCTGGGAGGGAACACGACTGATATAAAAAAGAGAGCATTCCACATTTGTAGTGTTTTATTACTTAAATGTTGCTTTTTTGTTAAACAAATATCTACTGAGCACTTCTTTTGCTCTAGGTACTGTTCTGGGTACTTGTTATGTATTAATGAACAAAACAGAAAATAATCTCTATTTTCATGGGGCTTACTCACTAAAATATTAAAATAAAATAAACCTAATAACTTAGTTTAATAGTACAATGAGATTTTTTTTTCTTTTTGAATAAATATTTACAAATTATTAGAATCTTGTTTATTTTCAAGTCATACCCCAAACAGGATTAGAAACGTGCACTGCTATTAGAAATCTGGGGTGAAAATGAAAGTACAAACACATTATGTCAAACACCAAATAAGCTATCACTCTATTAGCATCTGCTCCTTAATTATCTGACCATCCCAAGTATTCAAGACTCTTTTTTGTGCCAAGCATTATAAAATAAATCATTAGGATGCCAAAAAAGTTTTCATAAACGCAAGGCATATATGCAAATAAAACACTAAGAGCTTATTCTGTACGTTGAACTTTAGTCCACTGAAGGACTGAGCTCACCACTGTTTTAGTTCATGTTCACACACTCAGAGATTGTTCCCAAACCTTCATCGTGGTAGGGCAGCTGGCAGCTGCCCAAGGGGTGGAGCTTCCAACACCACTGTACCAGAATCAGTCTTCTTCAGCATTCCAAAGCACTTAGCTCTAATCGACTGTCCAGATTATCCTTTCTACTAGTATGAGCTCCTTTTGAGCTCCTAACTGTCTGCTTTTTACAGCACATCTCAAGAAGTACTTACATAATCCAAGGGTCCAAATAACATTTAATATTTATCTTTTTTTCCCAGGAGGCATCTGCACCCATCCAAGTTGTCCAAGTAACCTCTTCCCTCCCCCAAGTAATCAATTCTACTCGCCAGGGAGTCTATGTGTGTTCCCCTCTGTCACTTTTGAAATGTCCCATTGTAGTGACAAAAACAGTTGTCCAAAGCAGTCAAGAACACTGCTGGCCTTTCCACTGCATTACTGAGCTAGTCCATTCAGGGTTATTTTTGGTTGTTTTTTTTATCATAATGATAAAATCCTGCTCCAAGGATATCAGTTGTCTTCTGTAGGAAGGCAAGCCATAATCAGCAGTTACAGAGAAAATTCCAGCCTAGACAAATTAAGTGATACGTCCTAGGTCAAATGGTAGATAAAGGACAACATCTAGTTTGGTACAATTTTCTTTCTATTACACTACACTGCCTTTTTCATTTGATTCAGATGCCTATCTTCTTATAACCACATCTGTGTTTCTAAGGATCTCCCATTTGGCAGGGGATGAGGCAATCAGTCATTTAAGTTCTCTCTGGCTGACCTCATAATCACCACCATATATATCCTCACCTCTGGCACACACTTGGGCCATGCTGGTGTGCTGGTGTGGCACACCGCAAAAGTACAGTCTGCTACACAGTCCACTATCAATTTATTTACTTTGTTCTGAGGCTGGCAGTTGCCTAACAGCTGGAATTTGGCTCTTGATCCAAATTAAGTCTATCATTATTGTTCTTATTGTTTTTAACTGCAGAGTTTGAAACAGTCACGATAACTGTCATAAAACCATCTTCTGTCTGTTAATATCTTTCTATATGTTTATTCATGCTTAATCCTGTTCCAAAGAAGAAGGTAACTATAATAATAATATATCTCATTCTTTATATTTTGCTGAGAAACTCTCCTAAAATATCTTTGAACTGAGAACCAAAGCATTGTGCTGAAACTACTTATTAAGTCAAAGGTTAGAATGGGTGTGCCATTCTAAGTATTGAAAATAGCAGGTGCCAAATTTGATTGGACAATTATCATTTGACACAATCAATTTTCCTAAATTCTTTGCAAGGTGCAATAACCATTTATAGCTTTACAAGTAAGTTTATAATGAAAAGACTGTCACCATAAACACGATAATGTAAATCTACATTAATTATATCAATTTCATGATATATCACAAGCTCCAATAAATTAAAACACAGAAAAATGAGCAATTTAGAATTGAAAAATTATGATACTGCAAATTCTAATTTAATTACTTTAAGTGATAATTATAATTACCACCACGTTTGGGACTATACCTTACCCCCAATTTTAGCCATTATATTGTTATTCAATATGTCTTTCTTTCAAAACTGGCAGAAAGAAAAACAAATAGAAGGTTGTTTAGGTGGTCATTGTAGAAGAACCTTAAAAATGTAATATTCTATTTCAATAGAGATACATTTTTATTTAGATTAAAATACACAGCTAACAATGCTTAATATTTTCCCTGTAGTTTCTCTAAGCCTACAGTTTAAATTGACTTAATAACTAATTAATTGCCAGTGAATGAAAGCTAACATTGCAAGTAAAATTTGGGAGATATGTATATTTTTGCAATAATAGGTAATGATGTTTGCTGGTACTATGAGTCAGAACTTAACATCACATCTGCAAAATAAAATAATGTCCCATTCTCAACTAAGTGTTTGGTGAGAAAAAGAATCCCAACTGCAGAGACCTTGAGTTCCTTGCCATGTGAACCACTCCATGAGACCACTTGAGTATCCTCACAACATGCCGATTGACTTTCCTCAGAGCAAGTGACCCAACAGGGAGCAAGTCAGAATCTTCAGTGTCTTTTCTAACCTAGCCTGCTTACGTAGGTCAACTCTACTCAGTATGAGAGGAGACCACACAAAGACCTGAATACCAGGAGGCAAGAATTACTAAAGGCCATCTTGAAGGCTGGCTATCACAGTACACAAAGTCAGTAACAAAAAAGAAATTATATTACATAAAGTACTCGGAAACAGTCATACTTAATCCTTTTTTTAAAAAAAAAGTTCAAAATGACAGCATGATATAACTATCTCTTTTATTTACCTGAATATTTTGAAGCCCCAATTTACTGAACTGAATTGAAAATGATCATTTGTCGCTAAAATGTACTATATCTACCACAGCATCCTAGACCCTAGTCCTCCCCTTATAAAATTCTAACTTGATACTAATGTCCTTGGGGGCATCTCTAATTAAAAGGGTAATAGCTAGTTCCCTTCCTCCTATCATGTATTTACACACTTCCTTGGCAGCTGAATAGTCAGTAACTCAGGTAAGCAAATGGCGGGGAGAAATGAATTCTGGCCACCGGTGAAAATGGAAAACTCAAAATCAGCCCAAACATTCTCTCTTCCAAAGATCACAACACAACAATAACATGCGTATCTATTGCTACCATACTACTAGATTTTCCATGACTGTTCTAATTTTTAAACTTTTATCATTCTGTCCAGCTGCAGGTCAAAGAACATAGATCTAATGTCAGGCCTAAATTTAAACTGCTACACTACTGTTATTTAAGTGACAGTAAGATAACCTCTGGAAACCTCAGGTTCCTCATCTAATGTGAAACCACACCCATCATGTGGCCCAATGTCTGGTCTTAAAAACATAATTGCTGAATGCATATTTTTCCCATCTTCCAGTTGTCTTTCAGTGACCTCCCCTTCTTCTCCTTTTCTAAATTTTGTGGTGTTCTGCATTTTGGCACTAAATAAGTTTGGAACTTTTGGGTAATCACTTAGCCCCAATGAATCAGTTTCTTCATTATAAAACAGCAATATAGTTTTTACTCTAAATACCTCACAACCTTATTTTCAGGACTATATTAAGATAATGGATGTCATTGGCTTTGTACACTGTAAATTCCTGGTTGGGAAACTTTTTTAATTTTTCTCCCAAACTTCCAATATGTCCAAAAGTATTTATTTCTAATTACAAAAGCAACATCTGCATTATATACAATTTAGAAAGCTCTAAAAAATATATCTAATAGTTAAAATCATTAGTTTATATTTCTATAACTTAGAGGTAAAAAATTACTAGTCTGTTAATATTCCAGTCCATTTTAGTATGAACAAACTCAGTAAAAAACAAAAATCTTTTGTATTATAAAAAATTTCAATCTTCTGCCAAAGCATAAATATAGTATTATGAGTATAGTATTATGAATTCTAACATATCCATTCCTCAGCTTCAACTATTATCAATCTCGTTTCATGTAAACCCCATCCTCCATCCCCAATTATCTTGAAGCGAATTCCCAGACAACACATCATTTCATCTGTAAATTTGTCAGTATGTTTCTCCAAAAGCTAAGAATCTTTAAAAAAACATAATCACAATACTACTATCACATATAAAAAATTAACCATAATTCCTTAATATCATCAAGGTAATCAATCCAGTGTTCAAATTTTCTCCACAGTCTCATGTTTTTATATACTTTTAAATAATCCCACGTTTAACCCATTTCCATCTATGTTAAGACGTTGGTCTCCCCTCCACTTTCCTGAATGTGGCTCTTCCTGGTTGCTCCCGTATAGTCCTGCCTAAGAGTCACTAGTTTCCTCCAGCATCAAGAGCTGGAAAGCACCGCAAGGCAACGAGATGAAGACCGTGGCCTACGGAACCGAAGTTGCGACTCTTCTGCGAGCTCCGGAGGGAGCACTTTATCTATTGCACTGAGGTCAGTCTCCGTAGATGCGATTGGCAGGGGGCGCCGGAAGCGCTTTTGAGTCTCCAGCTCCGGCAAAGATTGTTCCACGAGACGCGCGGAAAGGGTTGGGTGCGCGGTTTCCTTTAGGACCCAAGTGGAGAAGAACCACGACCCCGGAGGAGATGGAACCCAGCTCCGAAAGCCGCACGTCCAGCGCGCTGTTTGCGGGGTTCCGGGCCTTGGGGCTTTTCAGCAACGACATTCCACACGTGGTGCGGTACAGCGCGCTCAAGCGCCGGTTCTACGTGACGACCTGCGTAGGCAAGAGTTTCCATACCTATGACGTGAGTGACTTCTTCCTTTGCCCGCTTCCCGGGAATCACCCTCCCGACCCCCCAGCTCTGTCCTGGGGATTCCCCCTCTATCTTGCCACCTACGAAGGGCTTCCCTTTTTGCCCTTCTCTTCCTTAGCTCTTCCCTGTTTTATTTCGCCATTTCCATCACATCCACGTGCTGATTTACTTAGCCCTTGCAGTCTACCTGCGGTGAGTTTCAGAGACAACCTGGCGAAGGGAAAGCTACTAGGGAACATCTCAGTATTATAGCAATGGATTTATTCAGTAGATATTTATTAACCTTCTCTTGAAGATGTAAATATGATTAAGACAAGCTCCTACTCCTTCGCATTCTTAATAAGAGAGAAGGACTTGCAAGCCATTTTATCGTTTGATTTGCAACACAAATTGAATTAGAAATTCACACTAAAATACATTAAGAGAACTGGAGAGGGTGAAATTATGATTTAGGGGAGTCTTCACATCTGATAGCAATCCAATTTCCCTAAACTTTCCCTAAGCATCTATTTCAACCAACATTGAGTGTCACTTACTTTAAGCCTTGCAGCAGTTTCTTTGCGAGGTAGTTGTCATTATCCCATAGCACCTTTATATAAACTAGAAAAGTAAGTCTCAGAAAAATTAAGGTACTTTTCAAGGCCTTTCTGCTTGTTGGTGATTATTTTTCTCTTTTAAGAGCTAATCAGTCATTGAAGTAGTCTTTTGCTGTGTACTTGTTTATTTTCTTTTCTCCAAAAGAATGTAAGCTTTATGAGAACAGAAACCTTGAGGATGATAAGAGCCAGTGTTAAGTACTTTTTTTCCTGGAAAACATGTTGTAGAGCTGACTTCCTTGTAGGATTGTGATTATTAAATGGGTTATTAGCAAGAAGTGCTGGGAATTGGGAGGCAGTTGTGTTAGTGGAAGAGCAAAGTGAGGACAGGTTGGAAGTGAAGAGCAATTAGGTTTCTGTAAGCCATGGTTGGTAACAGAGAAAGGGTGGGTTAGAATGACACCATTCATCAGGTGGGAGTACTTATTGTTACCTTTCTCTGATTTTGCTGGTTAATATTTCCTCTTTGAAATGGAATTTTTTAAGTGTCTCTTAAAGAGCTCTTGAAATCTTTGATACAATGTCTGTCCTAACGGCTGTTACACACACACACGTTTTTCCCTATGTTCTTCTTTCAAAGAAACCCTTTGGTTAGAGTAACACATTTGTACATTTTATAAAAATGTAACACTTTATTGATCTGTGCATTGAAATTTTCATAATAGAGATGGTTTTTAAGGTCCCATCCAGTTCTAACAATGGTTATGCTTTTTTGAAAAATTAATCATAATATCATAGCATGTAAATGCATATTGTCCCAGGACTGTACACTGCTCAGACCGACCAATGCATTGGGCGTGACCTCTGAAACTTAAAATAACTTGGGAATAAAGAAAACGGCACTAATGAGCCCAAGTCACTAATTTGATCTACAAGTGCTATATCCCTTGGCCTTGGCTATATTTACTGTCCCCAGTCAGACTTCTGCAGATTACCTTTTTCTACAGGGAAAACTAGACAAGTTGTGAATAGGTGGTGGTGGTAGTGGTGGTAGCAGCCAATACTTATTGTTTACTGTGTGACTGGCACCATTCTAACTGTTTTACACAAATTTACTCGTTGAATCCTCATAACAATCCAATAAAGTGGGTAAAGTAGTAGGCTATTTTAATCCCCATTTTACATATGAGGAATTTCAGTCACAGGGAGGTTAAGTAACTTTCCCAGTCACACAGCTAGATCAGTAACCATAGATTGGGGCCAATAAATTACAGTCTGCCAGCCACTTTAGCCCACGGTTTGTTTTTGTATAATCCAGGAGTTAGGGATGGTTTTGATGTTTTTGTTATAAATGGTTGGGAAAAAAAATCAAATAATATTTCATGATGTATGAAAATTATGTGAAAGTCAAATTTCAGTTTCTGTAGATAAAAGTTTATTGGAATGCAGCCATACATTTATTTATGTGTTGTATGTAGCTACTTTCATGCTACAATGGCAGAGTTGAGTAGTTGTAACAGAGACCACATAGGCTGCAAAGCCTGAAATATCTGTTGTTTGACCCAGTACAGAAAATGTTTGCCTACCCCTTCCATCACCACTCTTGGTAAAATAGTCAAAAATAGAAGCTTTCCTAATAATGAAAATTAGGATCAGTAAGTGTATTTTTTAGAAAGGACAACAGAGCAAATTTATGCATTAGGTTATATCCTAAAATCTTGAGGTGTTAGGTTATTATAATTGTTTTTATTAGTGAAAATATATTTAACCATTTTTTTCTTTTTTTATACAGGTTCAGAAACTTAGACTGGTTGCAGTAAGTAAGTGTGGACTTTTTTCTGAATTTATGCATATTTAATATTTTTTGAAATTTTTTTTAATTTTGACATAAATTCAAGACTTACAGAACATATAAGGAATCCAGTATATATGCCTGATTAACTTACATTGCTAAAAAACAAAAAAAAGTCCAGGACAGGATCATGTTTTGCTTTCAGTTGTCATGTTTCTTTTCTTTTCTGTAATCTGAAATAGTTCTTCCTACTTTCTTGAGTTTCATGACATTGACATTTTTGAAGAGGACAGGTGAGTTTAGAATGTCTTTCAGTTTGAGGCTTTTTTGGACATTTCAGGATTAGATTCAGATTATACACTTTGGCAGGAATCACAGTGAATCGTATCAGGAGACACATGCTGTTGGTTAGTCTTATTCCTAGCAGTGATAAGTGATCATTTGGTTAAGGTGACATCTTTCAGGAGGCTCTATTTTAAAGTTACCATTTTGTCCTTTGTAATTAATAAGTATCTTGTGGTAATATGCACTGAGACTATGTAAATATCCTAGTATTCTTAAAAGTTTTCACCAGCTACTTTTAGTGTTTAGTGGTATTTGCCTGAATCAGTTATTGATATGATGGTTACCAAATCCAAGTTGACTATCCCTAGTATGAAAATTTGAAATCCAAAATGCTTCAAAATCCGAAACTGTTGGAGAGCTGACATGATAATCACAGGAAATGCTCATTGGGACATTTTGAATTTCGGATTTTTGGAATAGGGGTGTTCAGCTGGTTATGTGATTATTCCAAAATCTGAAACACTTCTGGTCCCAAGCATTTTGTGTAAGGGATGCTCAGACTATAGTGATATTCTTCTTCCATCTTTCCTTCTGCCATGAGGACAAGTTTTCCCTTTTCTCACATTTTTCCCCCCCATTGGAAGGTTTATTTATTTTTTTAAAACTGTTTTAATAGAGTAAAGGGCATCTCAGGGCTGAGAGATACTAGTTTCATCATCAAATATCCTTGTGAGAGAAACAGGAGACCTATAAGGAATCTAGTATGTATGTATGATAAACTTACTTTTTAAAAATGATTAGAAGGTAGAAGAAAGGCACTGTAACCTAAGTTGAATACAAAAGTCAATGGTAAACCTATAAAATAGTTTTATGGAAACAATCCCATTATGGAATATGCAGCGGGGAAAATACTTAAGACACTCCTGTCTATTAACTCTCCTGCCCCCAAAAGAAGAAAAAAGAAAGGGGCAGTGTGACCATGATAGAGAGGAATCAAGAAATCATGTCATATGAGATGTGGCTAGAAGTGATAAGCTTATTTGCCTTGGAGAAGACTGAGTGGAAGCCGTATTTTCTTCAAATGTTTTAAGGGTGGGCATACAGAATATTCTATGTAGTTTTTTGAGTTGATCCAAAGGGTAGAATTAGAGATTTAGGGTTTTGATTTACTTTTGAAATTGTCTTGGAGTCAGTGAACTTGGAATTCCTGAAGGTATTTACACAAAGGCTGGATGACCATTTGCCAGAGTTTTATGTATTAAGTGACAATTTGGTTTTTTTTTTCCAAATAACCTCAGAAAGCTTCATTTCTTTAGGATTATGTTTTATGTCTAGATATTTATTTTCTTAGGCAAGATCAAGGTAATTTCATATTCTCAGTTTGATATTAGATATCTAAAATAATGTCAAAATTTTGTACTCTGATTCTCAACTTTTATTTAAATGTATATGTATATTAAAATTGTAGCCATGAAAAATATTTTATATATATATATTTCAGATTTCTCTTTGTTCTAAGATCTAAAAAATCCTGATTTCTTTTATATTTTCTCCCAGGTAATTCTGTTCCACAGGATATCTGCTGTATGGCTGCTGATGGCAGGCTAGTCTTTGCTGCTTATGGGAATGTTTTCTCTGCATTTGCCCGTAATAAAGAGGTTTGTATCACAGAACTGTTTTAACTTGTTTGTTTTCTGCAGTCAGTAGTTGCTTGTCATGATAGTGGAAAGAACTTTAATTTTGCCATTCTTTATCTGGGACACTCTGGAAATTTACAGTATTTTTTTTTTTTTTTCGTAATGTATATTCAGTTTTCTGGAAGAGGAGGAATTCTAGAGGAAGAGAAATTTTCAGAATTCATCAAATTCTGAAAAGGCTTAGTTAAAACTGGTGCTTTACTTCAGTTTTCTTGACCAGAGATAAATGTTGGGCAGCTTCTTAAAATTTTTATGCCCAGTCAGGTCCCATCTTGGGAGTTTTCTCTTTTGCATATTTGGTGAGATAGGACTTAGTTATGTGTATTTTGAAAATGCTTTCCTGGGAGGTTAATATTTACATCAGTGCTTTATGTGGATTGGCTTCTTCATTATCTACAACTCAGCCCATAACTCTTTTTCTAAAAACCAGGTGCTTTTCCCTATGCAGAGAAAGCTAGAGTCTGTCTTTTCTCCACTGCTGATAGAGGAGCTTTTTTGCTGTAAATCTACCAGTTCTTTTCTAAGTTTGTCCTGGGACAACTAACTTGAGAGATGACCTGCTCTAGTTGTCTAGAATGAAAAGGGAAAGTGGGAATGGGGATGCCTAGGTAGCCAAATGATAGTATCACTGTACTTGTTGGGGACTTGGCCTGAGATTTCTTTCCACAGTCCTTCATTATCACTGCCTGTGGCAGAGGAAGATAACTTACCTGTGGAGTTTTTTGATGGAAATTGTTTGGATTTTTAGAGAGTCAGGGAAAATGTTAATCTGTTTTTTGTATTGTCCTTTGTAGTTTTCCCTGGGAAATATATGTGGTTCAGATAAAAAGACTTTATAAAGAAACTATATGCACAGGTGTAGTCAGGGTTAGGGGAATGAAGTAGAGGTGGGGAGGCATCAGAGACTATCAGCTGTGGGAAGTTGTTACTACCATAGGGCCAAAGGATCAAAGAAAAGTAATAGTATTACCCTGATGAGAACTGAAACCATGGAGAAGGGAGCATAGTTAGGGAGGGGATCAGCTACTGTAAGGGCACAGGTCTCCCTGTCAAAGCAGAAAGGTGTGGGGCAAAAGTACCCTACATCCCCCTTTCCCATCTCTTCTGAAAGCCAGTTGGTGATGGAATCTGTAGAGATCAGCCTTCTAGAACATACCGTCTCTCTAGGATGCATGTAGTTGTGTTGGTTGAATTGGATGAGGGACTTAGGTGTATGTGCATGCCCACTCTCTCTAACCTTAGTTGGAAGGCTGAGCCTCAGAAGTCTCATTTGTGTTTTATTAGTCCACGGTTTATTTACTTGTTGAACTGATTGAGAGAGCAGATGAACATGCCTGGTTCCCTTGCTATTTATGTGTTCATCTAACCTTAGATAATCAAAAGTTGGGCTGCATTCCTTAACACAAGCATCTTCAGGATTAGCATGTTTTTCAGATAATATGAATAATAGTAACGTGATGACTTAGTAATATGAACTTCTTTTAAACTTTGTTGTAGATAGTACGTACCTTTAAGGGTCATAAGGCAGAAATCCATCTTTTACAACCCTTTGGGGATCACGTTATCTCTGTTGATGCTGACAGCATTCTCATTATTTGGCACATATATTCAGAAGGTAAGAATTAACTAATTTATTTGCTCTATCCTGGGATAATATGTGTGTAGTTAAAACTAAAAGTCTGTGTAAACAGAACTCCTATGCCAGAGGTTTCACATGTAAACAGTAAAAAAATATTTAACATGTATAGGAAAAAGATTCTATGTAAGAAAGAGATAAGCATTTTTAGCTAGTTAACTACAAAAGACTGGGTTTATTGTGAATTAAATCTTTTTAAATTCTTTAATCTTTTTATATTATTAGCTTATATTTCCTCTTGATTATCTGATTGTTCAGTGCAGTATGTTTATTTTTAGTAACTACCCTAAAGATTGCCTTTCTGGGAGTTATTCCAAGTTCTTAAACTAGTGACCCTTTTCTTTGTTTTGTCTTTGCTCAAGGAGAGAGAACAGAATTCCAAAGTATTCCCTGTGCAGATGGATGTTAAAAGGCCTTTTAGGAGGTTATAGGATCTGGTTCTCTTAGTCACCAGGCTCTTTCTTAATGGTGATGGCCCAGCTTTTTTATTGCTGTTATAGCAACACATTGAACCAGTGTCTTCAGGGAGTTGTTTATGACTTTAAGTAAAACTTCTGGTTACAGATAGAAGCAAGGATCTTCTAAAATAGCATTCAAAGTAAAGTTTCTATAATTTTCACCTATATCTATGTTTCCTAAAGTGAGGTACACTCACCTGTGTGAGTGTGCAGCAATGTGCCAGATAGTATGTGAACCTAAAAATTAAATGAAGTATGTCTTCTTTGATACCAAATTTATTGGAAAATTTAATGAATAATTGTTTTAATCATGGGTGAACTGTGAAGTAAAAAACAAAATTCAAACATAGGAATTTTAATCATAACCTAATATTTCAAAGAATCTTTTGCAGCAAGTGACTATTGGCTACGCCACCCCCTACTCCACAGGGTTATAAGTTCTTTTCCTCTCCTCTATTAGAGGTGCTTCTATGGAAATGTGAGAGAAGCATTGGTAAAATAATTTCACCAAGGTTTGTCTCTTATTTTTTCCATTTTTTGAGTGGCCTCTTGAGCTTTCTAGATCTTTGGAATCTTTGATATGATAAACTTAGTTTAAGTGATAAATATATGGGTATATGGAACATTTGAAACTATTTTATAAAAAATAATCATAACTTTTACTTTTGTAGAAGAATACCTGCAATTGACTTTTGAGAAATCAGTATTTAAAATTTCTGCAATTTTGCATCCAAGTACCTACTTGAATAAAATACTTCTGGGCAGTGAACAGGGAAGCCTGCAGTTGTGGAATATAAAATCCAAGTAAGCACTTTATTTAGAAAATAACATAGTTCTCACCTTATTCTCATGGACTACTTCCTAATATCTACTTATATCTCTCAATTCT